TGTGTTGTAAGTCAGGTGGGCAATACCGTACATGACTATGCATTTTGTCTCTCAAAATGTAGAGTGATTTCGCAGACGTGAATTGAAAATGGGTTTGTTGTGGGCCCAGCATGTGGTCTTAAACCGAGCCGCGGCCCCTGAATTAACCCTGGCCCGATTACGCTACCCTGAGTACGCGCGATGAAGAAAAAGATCGGAGAGGACGTGGACACAACCGTTTACTTCAGAGCCCAACCAAGTTGGTGCCGTTGTAAAGTGAAGTTTGCGCGTGTGCATGTATTCCACATCCTTACGTACTTCGGCTCGTTCGCCACTTTAATTCATCCGACAATTATGAAGCCAAGTAGGAGGCAGCCAAGCTACTTCACAGCTGACCTCGAATGTCTACACACAGAAGCGTTTCTGAAAACTTTGCGACAAGATCTCCAGAAGCTGGGCATGCATGACATTTGAGCTGAAAGTAGGAACGGGTCAGAGGAGGCAGGGAGGGGAGCAATTTGTGAACATGCATAGAGAATGATGCAGAAGCTTTGGCTCCTCGTAGATTTTCAGTAGCCTCTCTAGGAAACATTATCCCAATAAAGTTAGTGTGGGCCCTAGTATGTGGTCTTGAATTAACCCCGGCCCGATTACGCTTCCCTGATACCTGCGATGAAGAAAAAGATAGGTGAGGACGTGGACACAACCGTTTACTTCAGAGCTCAACCGCGTTGGTGTCGTTGCGTCGTGCGTGGGGTTTGACTCACACAGTATGCCTCGGATGTGTGAGTCATACATGCGCTAACATCGAGACCCATGTGTGAAGATAATCCAGGATAAACATTCGTGTGAATGAGAAGGGAGTTGAGGATCCGCGCGGCTGGCGACATGCTACGAAAAGGGGGACCCTGTGTCGGAGGCTGGAGTGATCGGATTAGCGAGGGTGAATCAACGCGAGTCACGACAGTCCTCCTAGGATAGCTTAACATCGATCTCTAAACGAACACATCTACGAGAGCTAATCGATTAATCAATGCTCCGCGAGGCTGCACTTACAAGGTCAGAAGGCTAACGAGACTGCAATAACTAAATTTTACTTGGCGGACCAATCAGAACGCTCTAATTATGTTATTCGCTAAAATGAGAATCTCGACAATTTGCTAAAACTGAATTGCATTTACACGGCTATTGGTGTGTTGTGGAAAATTGGTGTCTTCCCCGTCGGGAGTAAATATTTAAGCCGGCTGTGACTGAGCTCGTTAGCGGGAAATCACTGTATGATCTTCACAGTTTCAGAGTACGCTGAATTGGTTTTGCTTTAAATTCACTTGTACTTAAAGTAATTAAGTAGCACTAACAAATGAGCCCTGACAACCACGGGCAAGGCTCGCAATAACTAGGCTAAAAGTGCTCACTGCCTGTATGCGGACGTCACGTTGGCCAATACAGGCATTACAATTTCATCTTAGAGTGAATACTTACGATACGGCACAGGGACGTTCCTAATGCCCACACCACGGAAATAGCCGACACTCCGGTCTCTGCTGGCGCCTACTTTGTTCTCTCCGCGCTAATTGCATCCAGGGTGAGTCATAGTACACCACTGCCATCGCCGCTGTCAACGCGTATCCACAAAATTCAGTGATTTACTCCTTTACAATAATCGATGTGTTTATTTCACCCCTCTGCCTCAATACACCACTCATTTGCGCTGATAAATCCATCATGAACACGAACTTGGACGATAAACGTCAGAACGAAATTGACCCACCTACGCCACCTAGAGTCTTCTTTCGCATCATCACTTGTCCGCGGCTTCAGAAACCATGCCGGAACCCCACACATCCAGCCGTGAAGAATCACCAAATTGATGGACACGCGAGGATAGCACAGAACCCAATTTGTGATCAGACCTCATGTAATAACACAAACACTGCCCCGACTTCCCTCTACTTTTCTAATCGATGAAAAAAAAGGACCTGATGATCGTCACAGAGGGAGGTGATGGAATCAACTTGCACGTTAGACAAGAAAACAAAGACGATGAGGGGACACAAAGACATCAACAGCAGGAACTCGATTCACTGGTGGCGTTGACGGGCTTCGAGTTGGTAATGACGATGCCACCGCCGCCGCCGCCGCCTTCGGAAGACTGCTGTTTCTGGCGGTTCTGCTTGAAGACCTGGAGGATTTGGCCTGCCATTGAGAAGAACGCCTGCTCCACGTTAGAGGAGTCTTTGGCGCTGGTTTCAAGGAACTGGAGACCCAGATTGGCGGCAAATTGCTACAAAGCGGGAGAGAGGTGGAGAAACTAAGCTAACCAATGAGAAGCCGAGTCTTGATACTCCGAAATAGAGCTTAAGACTAAATCAGCGGCCTGTCCAATAAACTATCACCGCCTTACGATCGCGACAACCGAAATCTCGCTGTAGGTGCTAGTAAAACGGTAGCCGAGCACAGACAAGCTAAGCCGCTTTGATCGCCATAAATCGGACAATGATGTGCATCTCGATAAGAATGCGCACGACGTGGCGACCGAAAATGTCAACCGCTTGAGTGTTCACAAATGAGTTTAATTGGCAACTTTTAAACACAGCGTTTCCCGAATCAGTTGTCATTTGAGCTAATCTAGAACCAGCACTGTGACAAAAAAATGGGGAGGTGTGAGATCTTCCACAGAGTGCACGAAAAGTGTGTAGGGGGCGAGAGGACGCAACCAGAAGTTTGAGCGTGAGTTATTTACACGATTAAGGAGAAGCTCAGCGGCCTTACCTTGCCCTGTTCATAGGAAACAACACGCTGATCGGTTAGGTCGGACTTGTTACCGACAACTATCTTTGTCACATCGGGCCTGGCGTAGCGTTTTATCTCCTCCAGCCACGTTTCGACGTTTTGAAAGCTCTCCTACAATAACAGATGGTGAGAAACCAGACCGGCATGAGATATTTGCAGGCTTAGTGACTGTTGAAACATCGTGCGAATCTGAGAACGTGCGACAAGGCCAAATGTGCGAAATATCGACCTACTATCGGCTCCAATGAGCGTATATTTGGATCTCGTTGCATTTTATGAACAAAATTGCTGTAAACACAACTTTATCTATCAGGCAAAATTTGCTATTCGCTGAGTAACCACAAACGAAATTTTGTCCGTACAATAGCAATAAGATGAGTTAAAAAATGTAACGGGATGACAAGTTTCTCTTAACATCTCGGGTTTGTAGAACCTTGAGTATGTGAAACTAAAATCAAATTCACCATTAAATGGCATAACAAAGGTTGTCCAAAACATTAAAAGGCAATTTTAAGGTCCAGATTCAGTAAAAAGGCGAATTAAAGCAACAAATTACCTCAGATGTAATGTCATATACGACAATTATTCCATGAGCGCCTCTATAATAAGCAACAGTCATGGTCCGGAACCGCTCCTGTCCAGCTGTATCCCAAATTTGGAGTTTAACATGATGTCCATCAAGCTCTATCGTGCGAATTTTCTGAGGAAATAAAACGTAAACGACTATTCCATTTTCTTACGAAATCAACTCCGATTGTACTGATAAAGTTGTCCGTATAAACATCATCCTTTAAAGCGATTTATTTATACTTAATTTGACCTTACTGAAAATCGTAAAAGCAAACAAGATTTCCCGACGCCTGAATCACCGATCAGGAGCAATTTAAAAATATAATCACTAAAGGTAGGAAAAGAAATATGCAACATACTGTTCTAGAACACCAGAGCTAGCCATTAGAACTAAACAACTTGTCAACGCAAGAACCAGGTGGAAAATAACCGACTCTCTGAGCAGTCGACCTTAAAATTGTTCAGTAAAACAATGCTTGATCTCTAAAGTAAAATAACTTTTAGATTTTATTGAGCAATTTTTTAGTCGTATGCACATTTTCTACAAGTTTAAAATTTTACAAGGCTAGGCAAAACTAGCATTATCAATTGTTTTGCATTTCTTAAACCAGTAAATTTCCTAAATTTACGACAACGGGTTTACATTCGCTTACAATTGAGTTACCTCAGATTCTGTTAATTTACTTGCTAGGGTTTTCTTTAAAACCATCAATTAAAATTTAATTAAAGTGTGTCGTGCAAAAAAGCACTTTAAATTCATAGTGAACATTTTCGCATGAGCCATTGGTAATGACAGAGTAGATTGGATGGTGTAACTCACCATAAACATCAAATTACGACTAGAGTAAAACAAACAGTGTAAATATCTGAACTCTTTATAAGCGGTTACTCCACCCTGATGGGCATTGATTTTACTTATTTTAAAAATTTCGACAAAGTCGTATGATATTTTTGAGATAATGCAGTTATGGAAAATATTTTTTACGTAAAAATTGACACATTAGATAAAATTTAAGTTTACTTGTGGCTTTACGTCACGTTATTGATTACTTTAACAATTTTTGCGCTTGGTAGCTTCATGAACGCCCTGCTTTTGGTAAACCCTAACTCTATTTTTATCTTTGAAGACCTGCCTAATCCCCAACGTCCGGAATTAACCTAACGAATGAACAAGCAATCGTCTATGCAGTAACCGTTTTTCACTTATATGTCTCGAGTTAGTTTTGTACTTAATTTTCTCCAAGTGCGAAGTTTCATTCAGTTTGTATCTGTGATTAGAGTAAAGATTAATCTGCAATTCATATCCTCGATTTAAATTTTCTTTCTATACTATGTGGCCTTGTCTTTCATTGCATCAACTTGTTATTATAAAAAAACTAGTTTGCAGTTACCTATCAAAATTTCACACAGACTAAAGTCAGAAATTATGAATATTAATCTCCAATATTTCATTAGTGAAAAATTAAATCGTCTGGAAAAAAAGGACTGTATTTTAAGAGCAGTGAAGACGTACTACATAGAATGCATAAAAGGTCTTTTGGCTGTATTTAAAGAATCCTTATTTTCGTCTTAATTTTTGAAACACTGATATCTTCAAATCAAATAAATTGATCTCCTTGCCCTAATTAATTAATACCATTCTACTGATGCCATTTGCAGTCTTTGATTTAATAATTTAGAAATTATGTTTACTGATCTGATTAAAATACAGAAATATTACCTTGGAATGCGTTTGTTTATGTCACTACTTTTTGTAATAGCGTTATCAGTGGATTTGAATCGACAGTTACATTAAAAGTGCACGATCCGTATCCGAATTTCTACGTAGGTGAATGCTACGTCTTGTAGATTAGTTTGATATTTAACTCAGTCAGTTAGCAACACAAGGTTGTGCAATTAGGATTGTTCATGGGTAATCATATTTTCCACAGATTAGATGGAGTTTATTTAACCAGAAATTGGCTAATATACTAGTAGCATGAACAAACAGTGCGACTATTTTATTATGAATGAATAGGTTGTTCATCAGCAGGTAAAAGTGCCCTGAAATATTGATTTATTTAATAAAGAAGTGTCTAGCTTCTATTTTCTAGTAGGCGTTAACCTATTGGACCACCTCGAGATCAGCTAATCCTTTGTCTTCGTACCCTTGAATAGCCTACAATGAAATCAGCTGCCAACCAAATACAAACATGTATGGGAAGCGCCACATGATGTGCTACACAGCCAGTATTATGGACTCGGATGGATAACTGCCGATTCTCATTTGTGGTGTGCCAATGAAGCCCGCTTAATTCTACCTGTCGCTTAATATTGGGACCCGGATATGCTATAACCTTACTCCATAACAATTTCCGTAGCTAATCTGAACCCTCATGAACCCATCGTCTCTGTCTTGCGACCAGGCTGTATACTGTACATGAATCCAGCAGTAACAGTAAGGCATCCCTCTTCAAAATCGTTCCATAAAATTACTTCACAAAGTTGGAATGTCGGTGGCGTAGGATCGTCAAGGGTCACGGGCAACTCTAGTGGCCTGCCCTATGCCACTAGCGACGAAGTTTGCTTTAAACACCTCTGTTGTGTATTGTGTTTATTCACACTCCTTAGTCCTGTCGCTCCATCCTCAGACACAGGGCCCCCCCTTTTGCAGCATGTCGTCAGCCCCGCAGATCCCCAACTCTTCCCTCATTCACATGGACTTTTGTTTTGGATTATCTTCACACCTGCCTCTCGATGTTAGCTCATGCATGACTCACACATCTGAGGTATAAATACACACGCGCGAACCCCACACACGACGACGACTTCGTCATGTCCTCGAATAAACGGTTGACTCTCTGTTCTTCCGCAGACTTCATCCTTGCTAGGTAGTTATGTAGTATATGGCGTCGCAACATATTGGTGACCCCGGAGTGATGAAAGGTTCTGCAACATCTCGCTGGAGTTTTGATTTTCATATTTTTATGTGGTGCTGGTTTTAGTCTCGGGCCGATGAACCCAATTCTAGTTATGCAACGCAACAGCTGTTCTGTTGTTTTTCTCCCTGTGAACGAATTAACTTCACATAAGCGTATAAAGCTAGGTAGACAAAAATGTGGCTGGTAGGTGTGATGCCTGGAACAGAAGCTATATTGATGGAGGTGCACTCAAGCAGGATATTACCATTTTACCAATAGCATCACATTTGCTATTAACGCTCTCTTGCATTCCCTGGCAGTTTGTGACGTCGTCGTGGTATCGTTCGACGGGATCACGAAATGCAGCGGCGCAGGTAGAACTCACGCATGATCGCTGACAGACCACTACAGCTTGACAGTTTTTAAGTTGCGGGACTCAGTTCTACCATCAATGTCTGCTCACAACCTCTACCAAAACTGACCCGTCGTGCTCACCAGTTTTCATTTACCCCTCCACGCACTTCCCGTCATGTCTGACATTACGATGTAGAAGGTGTTGATGCGTCGCCAAACGCTCCATCCATCACATTGGCTATGTTCGTGCGTGCACAGTAACGATGGTTTGGATCCGGTCAAGATCCCAACCAAGCTTCTTAAATTTGACTCCAATTTTACCACGATGCCCCCACGCGGCCATAACGCTTGAGAGATAACCTGCCTGCTCACTTTGTCGTTGTAGACCATCCTGCACAATTTGATCGTGAGGATCATTGACAGGATCAAGGTTCCCCGATCTAACAATGCAATGATCATGTGGACACAAGTAAATACACGTTGGCTTCTTCAGATCACGAAATGCTTTGTGTGTCCATGAAGTCGAAGTAATGCGAGCAGGCACGACCGTTTACTAGAAAGAACCAAGTTGTGTGTGTCTACTGATACAGTTGAGTTGACATGCTAAAATTAACACATGCACCTATGAGGTCACATGACTAAAGCGGGTGGTGGTGGTACAAGCGGAGGGGTTAATGAACCGGCAGCCTCACGTGACCGACGGGCACGACGTGAAAAAGAGGGGAACGTGTGTTGGGAACTGCGACGAATGGGTTATTGGATGTGAACCAGTGGGATTCACTACGCCATCATTGTCTCCTCTGACTTTCTTTCGTTGAAGTGCTTTGCCAAGTTAGATTGCCAGCAATTTCGAAGTGGTATTTGGTACATGCATCTCCCAGTACAGGTGTTTAGTGTCTGCTTTGACGAAATGCTATGCTTCAAATGAGTCACCTCTGAAGCGTGTACAAACGCCAGTTCAAATCTTCACCTCGCTGCCCCACGAGAGTGGTCCAAACACCAGACACCCCAAGCTCAATTACTAGGATGGAATCAAGCAATTCAGGACATCATAGGAATGAGTAAGTGTTCCCATAAGGGTGGACACCGACTACTGAGACGTATAAGTAGGAAATAAGTTCAGAAGTGGGACATGCTGAAGTAGTGAGGCTCCTGGTGGGTAGGCAGGTTCTGGGGCCCGCCTAGTGTGCGAACACGAGGATTTCAATAACGCAGCTAATGGGATCAGCGTGGTGAGTGTTAACAGCTGTGCTAATGTAAGTCATGGGGTGACAGTGGGAAAACAACCAGGAAATGTCCGATTAGGAGATTCCGTGGGTGGTTAACGCGACTCGACTTGTGGACGGTGTGATATTCGCTCTCTGTGGCCGAGTGGCCGTCTCAGCTCAAACTCTAACCACTACTTTCATGTCAAACAGAAACTCGGGGTCACACACATCCTCGGCGACATCCAAAACCAATTTTAATGTGGAGTGCAAAGGAGGACAGTTCAAATTCGACTTAATGACCTTGGTAAAGACACGAACGTGGTTGAATTTAACATTTAAACAGTGGGATTTTTGTGGTGTTGACTGTTTGCCAGAACGCAAGCGCCTAAATGGGCTTAAGAACTTTCTCTAATATCGTTCTCGTCCATCTCCTAGAGTTTATGATGATTAAATCAGCCATCGTTGATCCAGGTAATGAGCAAATACTGCATTTGACCTTGTTCAAGACTCGACGCTTGGATTCAGAATGAGCAGATTGAAGTTGACCTAGAGTTATTCAATCAGCATTTGCTGAAAGCATCTCAAACGTACTAAAGGGGTCCATTTCACGAAACGAATATTCACTTCTGGTGATAACTGGACCATCCCCTAGGTGGAATTACTCAAAAAACGGTTGAGGTGGAATGGTACTTTCAAGGAACTAGACTACCATTTCAGATGCTTACCGACAACAAGGTAAGTGTTGCAAGTGGTGCTGATGTAAGGCGCAGGGTGACAGTAGAAGGCCAAGAGGAAACAACCGATTTAGACCTTGACTGTGCGGTGAAAGCGCATCGGCTAGGCTGATCCTCCTCTTAGCTAAGATTCTAACTAGGACACTCATTTCAAAATTGTA